TGTGTTCCAGCACCGAAAACCTTGACAATCAGATTTAGGGTCTCACACTGGTTAGTGTGTGGAAATGAAAATCCCTGGTTCCTGCCGCAGAGGTTTGGATTAGGTGAGTCCAGATGGGGCCTAGGAATCTGGTTTTTCTTGTCTGCACACTGCTGGTCCCGTTCTGAAGTCAGGTGCAGTCCTGACCCTGGCCTCTCTGCAGTTTGATTTCAGCCCCATTTAGCTGACCCGTGCCGTACCTCTCAGTCTCTGCTATGAAAATGGCTTTTGGTGTTGTCTTCAGGATGGCTCTGCTCAGAGCTCTTCCTGAGGTATTACAGTTTCAGGAAGGAAGCATGCAGGAGCTTGGCTTTACGATTTTCCAAAAGATTGAGGAAATATCAGTTGTTCCGATTTAGATGCAGGAGTTGGAGCTCCGAGGGATTAATCAGGTTATATGACACTGTTGTCGTTTACTTGGCTCTTAGCAGTTCCTCTCCTTTAGCCCAGACACCTTCTCCTGAACTCCAGATTTGGAGCCCTTTCCACAAGCCTCAGAGCCTGTCCCTTCCTAGTTCAGCACAGGAATTTACTAGGAGGATATCAGCTAGCTCACAGAATCAACAATAAATTTGTAGAATAAGACCTCTCTACACATTTGAAATCAGGGTAAGGGTAAAGTCTGTGTAGCACTAATTTCTCAATAGTTTTATTTGGGAGCCCTGACTGGAATGGAACCCCCAACCATTCTCAATCTTTTTGCTAGTATTCTGAAGGGACAAATACCACAGTAAAGTGACTTGAGCTGGCCTGTCTAGCAGAGTTGATCACCTCTAGTAACAGTCTTCAAGGACTCCATCTAATAAAATGGATAATATCCAGGTGTAAGTGGTGTGCTTGACTAGATGGCTGTCAGAACACTAATCAATGTCCACCACACCCTACGGATGGGCGGAGTCTTCCCACCCAATGGCACACCTCTGTAGCTTCTCAGACTCACTAGAAGTCGGTTCCATGAACCCAGGAATTTTGTTTTCAAATCCCTAGTACTCTGTGACACAGAACAGTACCTAGCACATGCTGGATTCTCCATGAATGTTGAATGAATGGATGTGTGACTACAGTATATAGAGGCTTCATGGTGCACATGCAGCCTTTGGAGTCAATGCCCAGCTCTGTTCCCAAGATGTGCTAATGTTGAGTGGGAAATTGACTTCCCTGTTCTTCTATGCTTAGATTTTCTCTTGGCTAAGATGCATTGAACATAGCAGGTTCCATCTCATACATCGTAGTTAAGAAGTACTTAGAACACTGTCCATGATGTTTTTGGTTATTATTTTACCAGTTGGGGTGTGACAAATCATTCTAAGACTTGGTTTTTAAATCAATATCTTATTTATTTGCTCATAAATGAATTAAACAGTGATAAGTAACAACAGTGCCTCTGTTTCTTAAGTGTAATGCTAGCATATCCTTGAAAACTTCTTAGCTCACAGGCCAGCTACTGTAGCCAAGGCGGCTCAGATGGCTGGAGACTTCCTGGAGGAGCTTACCTGACATTGCACATCTGAGGCCTCACTTTTCCTGTTATCACATTCTCTTCCTTGGAGACTTACTTGGTCTCCATGGAGCCTTCCTTATGATTCTGTCCTTTTCACTTGGCCTCTCATGTGTTGTCTCCATGAATCTCTGAGCTGGAAGACATAAAGTCTGGGTACTTGCACTTCCAAGAGAGAAAACTTTAAAACTTCTGGTTTTGCTGTTGTCAGGTTCTGTTTTGAACCCTGGGCGTGGAGCATGTTTGGCAAACCCTTGGTGGTCTTAGGTCATCTAAATGTTTAGTTGGTGCAGAGATAAAAGATTAGGCTGTACTCTGCTTGCTTGGTCTCAGCACACTTGACATTGTGGGCTAGGTGATGAGTCTTTGCTGTGAGGAACTGTGCACTGTGTGGCAAAATCCCAGACTGTATCTGTTAGTATCATGGAAATTGCTAGAACAGCCCTTCCCACAGAATGCCCCACTGTTTCCAAACATTGTAAATCTTCTCAGGGTGGGGTGGGGGATTCTTCAATGGTTGGGAACCACTGGGTCAAAGCAAATAATAGACCCAGCCCAGATTCAAGCGAGAGAAATTGCAAGGGGCTGGGCCCCAGGAGAAATGATGCACTGGAGAGCGGTGAGGGTCGGTGTTAACAGACCTGCACCCCTGAGCCTCGCTGCATGAGGAATCCTGTTCTGCCCTGTTCCTGTGGGATGAACCAATCTCTGGCTTACACCCTCTTTTGAGGCACCTGTCCGAGAGTCCCCTTTTGTCACTGGCAGTGCTCTGAAGCTTTCATATCTCTGTTTTTTTTTTTTTTTTTTTGCTTCCTTGCCTGTGTCATCTTTGTCACAGGTCAGTTTTTTCACCCATGCATGTCACCAAGCTGTTCCCAAGGCTCATATCGGAGCACATGACCAGGCTCTGGAGACCGATAAGCCTGATCAGGCAGCCTCTGCACCCTACCCACATACATGTCAGCTCCCTAAAAGGCTCCTCTTATCATCCCTCCCTTCCTCTCCCTTAACGCCTTTTTTTTAAAGGTTCAGTTCATGGGACCCTCTTCTAAGAAACTTTCCAGGAAGGCCACTCCCCAGTTTGATCTATCAGTTTCTTGGGGGAGGAGGCCATTTAGTCTCATCTTCATATTCCCACTGCCTTGTGTGCTCATGGTAGAGAAATGTTTCAAAGCAGAGTGAAAACTTCAGGGGAACCCGATAAGAACAGGAGTGAGTCAGGAGAGGATCTAGACGCTAAATTCTAAAGGAGAACCTCTGGGTGGGGTTTGCTAGCTTACAGGCTGCAGCCTGGAGTTGGGTGGGTTTTTGGGGAGTGGTGGAGGTCTGTGTGTATGCGTGCATGTGTGAGTACATGCGTGTGTGTGTGTGTGTGTGTGTGTGTGTGTGTGTGTGTGTGTAAGAATAAGGAGGCCAGGAGTCTGTGTGGAGAAAGAGTGTAGTGAATGGTTACCTACCAGAAAGGTGACAGAAAAGGTTGTTATTAGGTTTTGCAGATTAAGGTAAGGGTGCGCCATTTTTACCAAAGAGAGTGTTTACCAAACATGTTCTATGTCCTGGGCTCTCAATTCATGATGGTGACACGAGAAGCTACTAGAGGAGGATTTGTGTAGAGAAATGACTGACATTGACCTCTGTTCTTGGTGTGCTATATACCTCCATATTCAGAAGCAACTGGAGTAGTAGGAAGCTAATGCAGCCTAGAAGACAATAGCCTCTCTTGCTAAAGTGAATGGAATGGATAGGAGAGTTGTGGTTGGTGGGAAAGCTCTAGCAGCCTAGAAGACGGTGGCCTTTAGGAGTCGTGGTTGGTGAGAAGCTCCAAGGCATGAGAGCAGCCAAGGGAGGGATATTTTCTGACAGAGAGCTGCTTAAAAGTTTAGTATTGATATGCTAGGTTTGAGACTCTATTATGTATTCAGTTGGTTGTGTGCTAGACAGCTGAATAGACATGTATAAATGGCAGGGGAAGTATATGAGCTGGGCACATGAATATGGAAGTTATTAGCTCCATCACATAGTCTGGAACAAATTTTTGTGATTAAAAAATATAACCAAATACAATGCATAAATACAATAGAAGTTTGTTTCTCACTATTGGACATTCTGAGAAAATTCCAGATCATTGTCAAACAGTGACTGGATTTTTCTCTACGGAGAGCTGGGGACAAGAAAAACTGATAGAAATGGTTTAATAGAAAATGGCAAGAGAGAGAAATAAAATTGGAACCTGTGTGTAAACAATCCATTCAAGGGATTTTCTTATAAAGGAGATCCAAGAAAATGGGTGGTAGCTTGAGAAAGATGTAGGTCTGAGACCTCTTTATTGTTATTTATTTGTTTACTGTTCTGGGGAGCTACCCAGGACCACACACATGCTAGGTAAGTTCTGTGTTATTGAGTTACAATTTCGGCCCTGTGATTGGTTTTTCAAGTTTTTGTTTGTTTGTTTTCAATGGAAAAAATGGACTATTTGAATGTTAATGGAGAGAGGAAAAGATGGGAGAAGCAGGGAGGTGGAGAATTTCCAGGGTCTGTTTTGAGTATGTAGAGGAAATGCCAAACAGAGGGCAGGGCTTTAGGTAGAGCTGGATGTGGCACCCATTAAAGCAGCAGGCTAGCTGTGCATGCAGCACACAGTAGGGTGACTCTCTTACAGCTAGGGGTTTCCTGGATTACAGAACTTTCGGTGTCCCACTGGGACAACTCTGAGCACGTGGAATGGCTGGATACCCTAGAGATAAGAAAATGCACAAAAGACGGTCTTCATTATTATTATTATTGCTTTAAGCACTGCAGATTAAAACCAATACAAAATTTCCCAGTAAATTCCACATGTTACAAAGCATCTACCCACTCCAAACCTCAGCATTGTGCAAGGTGGGGGATATTACCACATACAAGTTGTAGTTCTTAGGTTGTGGGTGCCCCTTAATACTACTGAGTATGTGATGCACTTAGGAAGGTCCCCAGCATTTCCCCTCCCCATAAAACCAACCAACCAAACAACCAACCAAAAAACAAACAACATTGAGCTGGAGTGCTTGCTGTGGAGTAAGAGAGAGATGAATGTGACTACATACAAGACAAGCCATGTGTCATATATATGAGCCATCTAAGACATATTTCACATTATTCAGGAATGTGTCATCTATAGATAATATTCAATAAAAGCATCAGGAATCGTTCCCTGAAACCTTACTGCTCCCCAGGACCAACACATCTGTTATCTTTTTTCTTCTTTACAACAGCGTATTGTAGATGTGGTTGTTGTAATCTACACTTTACAAGTGAGGGACAAAAATAATTAAGCAATTTTCTTCAGCTCACACAGGGAATTGCAGAGAGGACCCTTGAAACTTTGATGATTCCATAGTCCAAGCTTTCGGCATTACATTGGATTGGCTCCTAGAAATTGCCATAATCATAGGTAATAAATGAGTAAGGCAGACAAGTACCATACCTTAAGTTTTGTTTGAGACTTTCATAGGCGGTTTCAGAAGGAAATGTCATCAAACGGAACTTGAAGAAAGTGAGGATTTCACCAAGCAGAGGTGAGAAGGCAGTTCCCATTAAACTAACTCTTCCTTGTTCCCTCTCCTACTCTCCGTTTGGACTTCCAGATCAGCTCGGCTTTCCTTCCTTTGCCTTTACATCAATCCTGAAGCCGAGAAACTTGTAAAGAAAGAGGTTTGCTCAGCTCTGTTCTGGAAGCTGAAAGTCCTGGTTCTAGCTGATCCCTGTATTTAGCTTTTGCTGAGGGCCTTCTGGCAGATGGCAACAGAACAGGAAATCACTGAGTGAAAGAGGAAGTCAAAGAGACTAAGGAAGCACTAGCCTTGTTCTGTCATAACAACCTCTGTCATGGGAACTGACTATATTGTCCCATGAGAACAATTTAAATTCTTTCAAGGACAGTGTCATCAGTGACCAAGTCCCCCTCCCACACACACACTCGGCTTTACTTCTTAAGAATTCCACCACCTCTAATACTATAATGAGGACCAAGCCTCCGTCACGTGGAACCTTGTGGGGCACAAGCAAACCATTCTTAACAGAGGCAACCTCCAAGAAAGAAGTTTGGTGGTTCAGGTTGGAATTACAGAGTGGAATGATGATTGAATTTCTTGCATGCTGATTTTTCTCTAGATTCCTAGAATGGGCAATAGAATTCTACTGGTCTTCAGTGAAGTGAATGAAAGAATTTATGACTTAAGACATGCGCTTTGATGAATGATAGACATTCAGAAAAGTGCATAAGCAGCAAGGGTCTTTGTTCCGTGAGCACCTCTGTCTGTCCAACATCCAGATTAAGAAATGGGTATGTTCCAGTACACCAGTAGCTCTTGCACGCTGCTTTCTGGTTTGTTCCGTGCAGTTCTGTAAATTGAACCCAGAGCCTTGCGTATGCTAAGCATGTGCTCTGCTATTCCTAGTCATAGTGGGCCATGTCCTCATCAACGCTACCAGCCTAGGTTAATGATTAACTTGTCTAAAGAAAGATTAGTTTTGTCTGTTTTTGAACTTCATCCAAGCAGAATCCTACATTCTGTTCCTGGCTATATCTGGTTGTTGGGGAAGTCCTGTGCATTTGTCAATAAAGCACTGTCTGGCCTATAGGGAATCTAGATAGGAGGGACTAGGAGTCCAGGAGAACTCTGGGAAGGAGAAACACAAGAGAGTCAAGATGTAATGCCATGGGGTAGGAAGCCCGGAACTATTCTCCGGTAAGAGACATACTTAGATTAACAATTATGGGGTAATTACTTAAGTCAGAGGTAGCCAGTAAGAAACAAGCAAGGCCAACAGCTTCATAATTAATATAGCCTCCTGTGTGTTTATTTGGGACTGATGCGGCTCTAGAACCAGGCTGGCGGGAAGGATCCTCTCAAGGAAAAAGCTTCTCTATAGAGAATGGTTGTCAGAAGTGGGATTGAATTTCCACGTAGAATGACAAAAGCTTTAAAGGAATTATAGAAACAGAAGAACGGAGAGAAGCACAGACTTTTGGTAGCAGCATTTTCTCAGGTGGGCTCTGTTTTGTTAGCAGCAAGCAGATACTCGTGGCTGGCTTAAGTTAGTCTTCCTGACTCAGCATTAAAAGAAAAAAAAAGGCAACAAGGTTCTTTTAAGAGGCTTTGCTAACGATTTAAAAGTTGTACGTACAGCTGGAAGTGGCAGCTTTTGCTGGAGGTCAGCATGGACTGAGGCGGTAAGCTGTAGTCACACTTATGCCCGCCATCTTGAAAAAAAACCGGCAGTTTAAAACAGCCGCGGTTTTACAGATAAGACATGTGGCCACAAAAACATAAAGATTTACAGTAAAATCATACTTGGATGAAGAAAAACCTCTAAAGGTTTACAGTGTGTTTAAAAATATATGTAAGATTGAGAGAGAAAATAAAGAAGCCGGGCTGTGGTGGCGCACGCCGGTAGGAATTGCTCCAGAGGCAGAGGCAGGCAGATTTCCAAAGAAAAACCCTGTCTCAGAGAAAAATAAATGAAAGTGAAAGAAATAAAGTAATAATAGATAAATAAATAAGCCACGTAAAGATGGAAAATACACAGAGAGTCTGGATACTGTACGCTATTATGTTTTTCAGTTTTTCATTGATAAGGAAGGATACTAAAGTACACTTGATTATAAATGCTGCTGAATTAATCCAACTTCTATCTTTTGAAAATGCCTTGACTTCAAAATTTAAGTATAAGAATATGTTACTTGGGAAAGGAGATTTTGCTTATGTTTCTACAGAAAATGAAAAGCTGAGGATTCCTTCCAGGCTTCTGTGGTTTGACGAACCAAGACCCCCGGAAGCAGTGGACCAGGTGTTTCAACAACTGAAACAGCTAAGATGATGCAGCTTTACAGACTACGAAAATAAGGACTTATACAGGTTTCTGAGTTTTGTCATGATCCCCATGGTATAAACAGTGCCCCCTTCCAGCATGAAGCAGTTTGGAATGAGCGACGTCCTAATTCCCATCTTGTTTATAAATCTTTGTTTTCATTTAAATGGGGTTGTTTATCATTGGTTAATGATCACAGCCAATCTTTTTTTTAATGGTAAAAAGGGGAATTATGGTATGGGTATTGTTTTTCATTTATTGATACAAATTCAAGGTCAATTTTGTGATGTGTATATTTCTCCTCTTGATTAAGTATTGTGCTTATACTGATCTTTTAAAACATAATGCATAATTGAATACAGACTATAGATAGTTAATGATAATAGAATTTATAGTTAGGTAAGTTAGGTTTTCTAGATATACAAAAATATATTTGAGATAGATAAACAGTCTTCAAACCTCTCAAAGACCTTCAGAAAATGGCATTTAAAATGGTTTAGGGTTTTTCTTGACAATGAGAAATGTCTGCTCCTGGCAGCACCAATTATGTCTGAGAGGAAAATGGGCATCGAAGAAACTCATTATGGAGTTTGCTTTCAACATGGCAAGATTAGCCATTTGGGCAAGAAACTGCTCTTGCCTATACTGCTTGACTGTTGTTGTATAATCTGGACATGCATGACCCACAGGAAAGTGACTGCTAAACTCAGTCTTACAGGGTTCCTGCTTCATGGAAGAGAATTTCTGCAGGACACAGAGAAATGACTGACAGACTGCCAATGCAGATGGACAGTTTTGAAATTTCCTGCTTTGCTGAGAAATCTTCTGGACACATTGTGGCCTATGGGCTGAAGATGGATGCCCCAACGTTACAGAGGAACTTCGGGTGACTGTCCAGGCAGTAAGATATCTCTGTCAATCCTAGTGTTTATATGTTATCCTTCTGTGGTCTTTGATGGAGTTGAAGATAGATAGTTATAATTATAGTTTTCCTTAGTTATGATAAAAGATAAGCTACATATAGAACTTTAGACTCACAAGGATGGGATGGATGATATTTTCTTTAAATCTTGCTGAATGTTGATAGACAAAATATTGTAACTGTATTCTTACTTGATAACTGTTCTGTTATATATGATTTGACTATGTTAAAGTTAAGACCTTTCTTTTGTTTAAACAGAAAAGAGGAGATGTTGGGGAAGTCCTGTGCATTTGTCAATAAAGCACTGTCTGGCCTATAGGGGATCTAGATAGGAGGGACTAGGAGTCCAGGAGGACTCTGGGAAGGAGAAACACAAGAGAGTCAAGATGTAATGCCATGGGGTAGGAAGCCCGGAACTATTCTCCGGTAAGAGACATACTTAGATTAACAATTATGGGGTAATTACTTAAGTCAGAGGTAGCCAGTAAGAAACAAGCAAGGCCAACAGCTTCATAATTAATATAGCCTCCTGTGTGTTTATTTGGGACTGATGTGGCTCTAGAACCAGGCTGGCAGGAAGGATCCTCTCAAAGAAAAAGCTTCTCACAACATCTGGTCTCTTTTGTTTAGTATAACATTTACGAGTTTAATCTGTATTACAGATACAGCTGGAGGCTTTTCATTCTCACTCATATATTTCTATGCCCTAAAAAGAATCTTCTTTTTAAGCCAGGTTCAGTGATGCATGCCTTTAATCTCATCACTTGAGAGGCAGAGACAGGTGGATCTCTTAGAGTTGAAGGTCAGCCTGGTCTACATAGGGAGACCTTAATCTCAATGAAAAACAGCAACAACAAAAATCAAGCAAAATACATTGTTTTTAAAAAATAATTTTACTATGTGCATGTGTTTTTTTCCTCTCTGTTGCTGTTTACTTTTGGCATTGGATAGGAAATCCTGGGCTTCATCCATACCACAGCAAGCATTAACAGCAAGTAACGATGGGCCTATTTTCCTGTTGATGGAAATGTGTGTTTGGATAACTTCCAATTCAAGGAAATTAATAATAGTGTTATATGGATGAACTTTATCCTCCCCCCTCTCCTCTTCTTCTTGTTAGGATCTTTCTGTATAACCTAATCTATCTTAGAACTCATGAACCTTCTGCCTCTGAATCTCAAGCACTAACATTCAAGTCAAGTGCCACCATGTCTAGCAACATGAACACTGTTGACCATGCTTTCCATAAATGTATTTATTTTCTTCTGGGTATAAACCTGTACATACATTTAAAGAGATGCGAGACGTTATATCGTTTTCTCCCTTTTACTGAATTTGTGTCCTAGCACCATGGTGGCCTTTCAGTACCATCTCACAATTACGATGAGATTAGCACACCAAAACAGCCACTCATTGGTGATCTTGCTTATGGTGGAGCTTCTCATAAGACCACTGGACCCTTCAGTGCCTGGGTTCCCAGTGTACATTGCTGAAATGAAGATCAGTTACTACAGGTAGGCAATTTAAAGATCCAGTGAAACCAGGTCCACAATCTCCTGGGTAGCCCTGCTCCAGCACTGCAAACACTACCAATTTTCATTGCTCTTGAGTAATTCCAGTTATGAAGATCATTGTTCTTGGCCAAAAGTATTTATTACTAGACAGCACATGGTAGATAATAACATTGGTTTGACTGGCTTGGTTCTTGATGCTATACATAATGTCTTATTCCTTTTTTTAAAAGTCTCTCTCTCTCTCTCTCTCTCTCTCTCTCTCTCTCTCTCTCGTGTGTGTGTGTGTGTGTGTGTGTGTGTGTGTGTGTGTGTGTGTGCATGCAGGCAGGCCAGAAGAACCCTGTAGCATGAGTTACAGGTGGTTGTGAGCCACCAAATGTGAGTTCTGGGGACTGAACTCAGGTGTTCTAGAAAAACAACAGTGCTTTTAACCCCTGAACCATCTCTTCAACCCTCAATTTTATTTTGCTTTTGATACAAGG